TTTATAAACATATTCCTGATATAACATTGTTATTTGTTAATGGCATTCTCATTAAGCCTCTAGATGTTGTTCCTACTTCCTAGGTGGCTAACAATTTTGATTTACTAATAGGCCAAATATAGAAACAAATCACTAGAACGTTATTGTTCTGATTGCCTATCGGGAAAACAAAATTCAGTAAGAAAGATTTATTGGTGTTGCGAAAATTGGTCTAGGCCGATGTGCAAAGTATACAGTTAGGCTTATTTATCACCAAGCATGCTAGCCTGACCAAATCGATGACCTATGAAACTGGGAATGTACGTGACTACACTGTTTGAGTAAATTTTTTCCCTCGTTATTTCCACTCAAAACAGCATCGTATTTGTCATTTAGTTTAAATAAAAATGAAACGTACCCTAATTTGCTGTGAAGCTAAGCTCTCGTCTACTCACATCTCTAATTCTATGAATTGATGAAGTTTAAAATCCTCATAACCCAGACCCAACCATGGATCACCTGTTTCTAAATATGAGCGAACTACATAAGATTTGAAGTTGGTTATGTTGAGTTACAGATCAATGTATGGTGGAAATGTGGAATAATACAAAAATCTACTGTATGCTGTTGCATACTATGTTTAGAGATAATGCTTCCAGCATTATTTAAAGAAAAACTTCCAGACTTGCTATTTATTTTTGAAGATGTCTGATTCAGGCATACAAATTTACTTGTAGTTTCTTCCCAATAATAGATGTAGCAATGAAATTCTTGAATTTGAAATGATAATGAGAAGAGTACAATGATCTAATTATTAATTATTAGTCTGTTCTGGACTATATAGCTATTCCACATAATATAATAGAACCATATATACATTTTTACTGTAAAACGATTTGGTTGAACTGCTGCTCTAATCATTTTCCGTAACCGCACCACTTATGTTAGCGGCTTGGTTTTTAAAGCAATGCCATAACAATTTCTTCAGATATGGAACACTGCCAGGATGCAATAATTTTGTCTAATCTAGTCCAGATTCTTCTATGTTCTCTCCGTTTTCATATATTCAAAATGTGAACTATAAGTCTAGTTTTGGCTTTTGAGACTATCCGTTTTAAGAACTGGCTAAGAAATTTAATGTGTTTTCCATCTAAGAAGATGTGACATATAGATCTTGTTGATTACCATGTATATTAATTGCACTTCAGTAGAGGTAGAAAGGGAAAAACTAATGTGGAGTCTTTTTGTATATATTATATGGTGCAGGCACAGACGGGGTATCCCTTTCCAGACCCGTATTACAGAAGCATCTTTGCACCTTATGATACACAGCCTTATGCTGCACAACCTTATCCAGTTCAGCCAATGGTATTATAGTAAATAATTGACTTTTTTCGTTTTGGGTAACAGGATGGTTCAAAGAAAACATCACATAGCGTTTTTGCAAATGTATCTTAACTCTCAAGTATTGATAATGTCATAATTGAGAGTCTCCCCTAAAGATAGGAGTAAACCAAGAGTTACAAAAATAACGTTATTGAAGAGGCTTTCCATGCCATACTATAGGCTGCAGAATTTGCACATCACAGTTAACATAAAATGAAGATAAAATTTGAGTTCAGATCATACCATAAGTATTTGCATCTGCTCTTAGAAAAGACTGTTAATCGGGTTTAAAGCAGGCCACGGACTCCAATTTGGCTTTTTGACCTACTTGGTACCAATATTTTCTCCGATTTATCAAATTGATACCTAGCTTCAGTTTGTATAATTGTATCTTTTTGGTACTAATACTTCGGATGAATCCATCATATTGCCACCAATTCATTGATTTGTACAGAGCATCTAATTGGTACAAAACTTATCATATAATTTATATTTGGGAAAACTATCAAATAAGCCCCCGTACTATACCGAAAAAGTCGATTAGGCCCTAGTACTTTACAAACACTCAATTAAGTCCTCGAACTACTAAAAAACGTTCAATTAAGCCCTTTCGGTCGGTAAGTAACCGGTTTCCCGGTTAAATGTAACCCGTTTCCCGGCAGCCGCCATTGCTACTTGCTAGGGTTCGAGCACATCGTCGCCGTCGTCGCCGTTTAACCGCGAAACCGGTTACTTACCGACCAAAAGGACTTAATTGAAAGTTTTTTAATAGTTCGAGGACTTAATTGAGTGTTTGTAAAGTACGAGGGCCTAATCGACTTTTTCGGCATAGTACGGGGGCTTATTTGATAGTTTTCCCTTTATATTTTTGTTCTAAAATGATATGAGCATGCCTTGTGGGAAGCATTTATGGAAATATCATGAAATATGCAGAAAAGCTATTCTTAAAACAACAGATATACCTATATACTTGCCAATCTTTTTGTAAATCTGGGATAATTTAAAGAAATATTGTTAGCTCGTTTGTATGTACATTTTAAACATTGGTTAACGTTATCAACTCTTAGTTTCTGTGTTTGAGTTACCTGTCCATGGATTTATTCGTAAGTTAACGGTTTTGACATTCAATGGAGGTTTGTGGTATTCTTTCTTATTACATATCCTGGATATTCTGAATTTAGAAAAAAATCAGTAACTGTATTTTTATTTGAAAAACAAAATTTAAGTTTATCTGGGTAATCAATAAAAGGTCATGTACTTTTTCATAAATATATATAATGTACTCAACAAATATATATTTGTTATTTTTGTGAAAATATGAAAATATTTATTATGCATAGTAATAACTGAGTCCTGTGAATAATTTTGTACCAATTAGATATGCATTAAAGATTTATACCAATATGATTCATTCCTGAAAAGTATTGCTACTAAAAACATAATAATTAAAGAATTGGTACCAATTTGTTATGAACCCCAATGTATTGTTATACTTATACCAAATAGATCAAAACCCCTTCCAATCGGGAACAATCTTTTGGGGTGCAATCTAAAATGATGTTAACAGAATAACACCTATTGACAGTGTTTCCTAAAATTAATGGATTAATACTTGAAAAATAGTGTTATTAAAGTGAATATCATACTACCTCCAAAATACTTAGCCAAATCTTAAAATTTGGATCATGATTTTGATTAGTATAATATTATGAAAGTTACAAATTTTATTCTTTTATGGAAGTACTTTTAACAAAGAACATTTTCATATCATTTTTAAATTAAAAATAATTTCCAATAAATATATAATTGGTCAAAGTTTTGAATTTGGCTAAGTATTTTGGGACGGAGGTAGTACAAATTACTCCCTCCGTCCCATTTTACTTAGCCAAACTTGATTTTTCACGTCAATGACGTCTAACTTTGACCAATTATATGTTTATATAAAGAAAGTATTGATAAATGAAAATGATATTAAAATGTTCTTTGTTAAAAATGCTATCGTAAAAGTATAAAATTATTATATTTTGCATAAATATATTAGTTAAAATAATTGGTCAAAGTTTACCATCTTTGATTGGAAAAGTCATAGATGGCTAAGTAAATTGGGACGGAGGTAGTACAAAATAGATCAAGCGATGTCCCGAAGAGATTCAGGAGATAACTTAAAATGCATTTGATACGTACATCTGATCCCAATTAAGCATCCCATAGCGAGTTATTGCAGTAGCAGTAGTTAACTATACAGTGTCTTATCTCAGGTTCATCTTCAATTGATGGGTGCAACACCACAAGCAGCTGCTGGGGTTCCTTTGCCTTCCGATGCAGCGCTTGAAGAACCTGTCTTTGTTAATGCAAAACAGTACCATGGCATCTTAAGGCGTCGACAGTCTCGTGCCAAAGCTGATTCTGTAAATAAACTTCTCAAGCCCAGGAAGGTAGTATATTTTTCCACACCTTTTCCATGACTTTTCCTATTTTTTTGGTCTATATGTTCGTATTGTCACTTTTGAATAGATTTTTTGCATATATTTTAGATCTCTTAGTTTTTATATAATACGTAGTAGAAGTATATAAATAAGGTGATTTTGAACAAATATTGTCATGGGTTTATTGATCTTGAGCTATTTTTTTACCCCAAGTTTTGTTTTCTTCTGATTTCTCCTCTATATATTCCTCTCTTGTTTTCTTTCCTTAGCATTTTCCACCAAATGGACCTTTAGAGCATCGATGCTCTTAACTTTTGATGTGTTCATATGAAGAATATTTCAATGCTGTGCAGCCCTACTTGCATGAATCCCGACATCAGCATGCACTCAGAAGAGCTAGGGGGTGCGGGGGCCGGTTTACTTCAAAGAAAAATAACAACCAGCAGGAAAATGGGGATGAATTAGGAGATGCTAGTGGTAAATCACTGCCGCCCAATGTCAACCTCAATTCTGAAAGTCGTGATATTGCATCAGGGCCATCTTGATTTTATACTTGTATCAGATATTTCAACCTGCTAAATATGATTAGACTTTTGTTTCTAAGATAGAAGAGAACTTTATATCAGATTATCAGTATGTAAAAAATCAGAAATAGGCGTTTAGGACACCAAGAGTGGAAGATGAGTGGGTTTTAAACTGCATGGGCATGTACTATTAAAATGCAATAGAGTTTTCTTCAATAGTGATGTTTTGCAAATTGAGGGAGTGGTCTTTTTAACCTTTTCTTCTGTACATTATTATTTCGTTTTCCCTTGGTTTTAGAGAAATTTTAGTGAATGGTTGGCTTGCTGGAACTGCTTAGATGGACACTGGGTAGGACAAACATTCATTCTCATGAATTCATGATGATACTCTTCGATTGTTCGAACATGTACGTCGTGAAGTAAATGGCATTGGTCCAAAAGCTTCAAAGTTATTAAAGTAATACTTGGGAATTTGGAAATGGCATTTTGCATTTGTGATTATTATCACTGCAGAGTCCACATTGATTGGAAATGGTGTTGACCAAAGTGTATAAACAATGGCTATGAGAAATGTAATGAGTAGGTGCTAAATAATTTGCTCAAAGAACTGATGACAGTTTTCTGTATTATATTGCTTGATAAATTTATAAATTACTCCGTATAAGCTTGTCAAAAAATTAAAGCAGGGCAATTGACAAATACCAAATAAGTAAAATACTCTAAACACTTGTACATGGAAAGAGATAAATGTAAAATTTGATCATAACTGAAAAGATGTTTTGAAGAAACTGACAACATTCCAAACAAGATATTCCCCAAATCTATGTTTTTCCCTGTTTGGAGTCGTAGGACAACATCTATTCATTTACTTGTCACTTCCGGTGGAGCTTACCACTAGGCGGTAAACTATTTCAGGAGTGAGGGGTTTTGTGAAGCACTGGTTGAGCCCAGCCCCCATAAATGCAACCATGTCTGGACCAGGTCCATGCGAAGTCACGCCCACTATCATGCTCTTCACACCCATTTCCCGCAGTTCTCGTGTAGCCTTCAAAAAAATATGAAATTAAATAATAAATCCCTTATGTTTGAATAGTCTGGTACGCCGAACTTCGTTATCAATGAAATAAAAAGATCACCATTTTGTTTGAAAGTATAGCAAAAGAGAGGATTGTGGGTGTTCATGAGAGGTGTGGGGGGGGGGGAGGGGTTAGTACAGGCTCAGTAGCCCTCAACATTACGAAGAACGGCATATATGTGAAACACGACACAATAAAAAAATGAAATGAAGTGAGTAACTTACATGGACACCATCTTTAACCGGCATTTCTTTGTCCATGAGAACAAGATCAAACTGAGCACCGGAGCGGTGTAGCACGACAGCTTCCTCCCCGTTCTTGACCACCTGAGTTTGGAGACCGTATCTGTCCAAGAGCACCTTGTGGATCCTCTGAGCAACCGGGTCATCGTCTACTACAAGTGCAGACAACCCCTTTCCAACATTTTTGGAACCCATTTCCCAACTCCGATTTGATCCTGAAATGTACCATTCATGAAGTGTAAATGTCATTCTTTTCATACAACAACCAAAATAAAATAAAATGCGTACGTCGAAGTTTAATTGAGAAAACCTTGTTTTGTTAATCATGGTAAATGTGATTTTAGTGTATTATTAAGATCCATATATCCCATTGTGTGGATACATTTGGTTTCCCACATTTTTTCGAAATGACGTTATTAATCACATACTTTTAGTTTTGTCATTCTTCGTATGACTCAAATTTCGTAAAAAAAATTAGAACAAGCAGAGTATTATACTCTCTCGGTTTTAATAGTGCGTTTGCCGTTTGGTCATTTTTATTATAAGTAAAAATTCATTAAATCATCTAGCGACTCATTTTAAAATTTAGTACATGCACAAAAATGACAAATAATATTATGTCACTTTTATATACGGAGTATTAAACATAAAAGGGCATCAGGACTACGCTATAATCTGCCTAGTTTGATAGTCGTGTTATAAAATAAGTGATACTCGTTTTATAATAATTTGACAAGGATGAGTAAATTGTGTTACAAAATGTGATATGTAATATTTAAGAGCGCGCATTCTTTGTGTTTCCAGATTTGTTTAATTTTTTTCCGCATAAACACATACTTTTTCCGTTGTTACAGTTCAACATATCTCAATTAACATTTTGGAAAACAACTTTAAATTATATAATGAATAATTTAATATATTAGTGATCAAAAAGTTGTTCAAAGAATAAAAGCTTTCAGGACACGAGATTGCTAGGTTGCTAACCTATATGTGCATGTTATATGCTGTGTTTATGGGTTACTGCGAATACTGCCCATTTCAATCGTGCATAAACTATAGAAAATGGAATTATATGATTAAGTTTTATATGGAAAAGGGTGAAATAAAGACATCATTATTGACTTTACAAACATCTGAACAGATAAAACAGAAATTATATACGTAGTATTTTCCATAGGAAAGAATGAGAACATGTGTACCTTTCTTGGTGAAATGAACTTATTTAATACTTTACAAATTAGATTAGATTGGAGAAATGGTCGAGGGTTTAAATAGATAGACTGGAGGAATGCTCGGTATGGTTCACAAATTAGATATAGTTATAGCTGGAAAATCCACATTGAAGATCCAATTCTGTGTAAAGATCGAGTCACAAAGAAAATGGATAAAAGGCTACCAGATTTTTGCTGAAAAAATGGAAACGATGGAGACATTAGGAGAAAATCGAATCTTGTTGTGATATCAAGAGAATCCCCAAACCCGACCATGCCATCAAGATTTGACTATATTTGTGTTTCGATTTCTCCTATCAACATATGGTGTGATCTCAACCTTTTATGACTAGTCTATTGATAGGATTTTAATGTCTTGAAAATGGCGTTTCGGTAAAAAAAAAAACGATTTGACTTCTTTTAGTGATGGACTTATAAACAATTGTTCTGCTCTAGGGGTTTTGGTATACAAAACAATGAATTTTGGGAAATGATGGTTTGCCCTATTGGGTACCGTGACCATATATTTATAATAAACGGTATTAAGAAAATTACACATAAGTCCTGAGATAATACATTATTACACTCCCTCATTCTATGCAGGGGAAACAACACGCAGATTGAAACGTAAAAACTCAAAACGCTGACTAGACAAACTTTTAGTAAATATATCAGCTAATTGTAACTGTGTGAGAATATACTTCACAACAAGGTCCCCGTGAGCAACTCTTTCTCGCACAAAGTGGTAATCAATCTTGATATGTTTGGTACGATCATGCTGAATAAGAATCATCGCCAAATAAGAAGCAGAAACATTATCACAATAAAGTTGGACTGGAGCCGAAATGCGAATACCCATGTCAGCAAGACGGGAGCGAACAAAAAGTGTATCTTGAACAGTATAAGCTATGGCCATGTACTCAGCTTCAGTGGAGGATTTGGAGACAGTAGGCTGCTTCTTGGATCGCCATGAAATCAAATTGGAGCCAAGAAAAACCGCATAACCTGTAGTAGAACGAGAACTGTCTGGGCAACCTGCCCAGTCTGCATCAGAATAAGCCATAATGATAGAAATATTTTTGTCAGGCCGTGAGCTGTGGTTCCTTGTAAATACCTGTAAATACGCCAATAAATGAGAGGTACGTGGAGCATGCATAAACTGAGAGACCAGATGAACAACATATGTAATGTCAGGCCTAATTAAAATTAAATACTGAAGAGCTCCTACCATATTGCGGTACTCAGTAGCATCAGATAAAAGCTCCCCATCTGTGAGAGAAAGAGAAGTACATGACGGAAGTGGGGTGCGAACTGGTTTGACAGTGTGAAGATGAAAATGATGTAACGAGTGTGGCAGATGAGTCGGCTGTGACTAAGTAATGAGTGCAACCCCCGGCTGGCCTGAAAACGTGGGGCCGGTAAAAGAGACGGTGGGTGCTCCAATAGCCGGAAGAGAGGCCGAGACCGATGTAGGAGCCGGCTGAATCAGAGTTGGAGTCGGAGGAGTCCATGTGAAGGGTTCCAGCATGTTGAAAAGACGATACGACTCCAAAGGGGAAAACAATGGAAAACGCTGGGAGATTGAAGCTGGAATAGGTGATGACCAGGGCTGTCCGCCTGGGAATTGCGGAGGCGCCATGAACGACGTTGTTTGTTGCGGGTGCCCTCAGTTGGGCTGCTATTGTGAATCGTGGTCGAGATCGACGTCACAGGGAAGACGGTCGAAGGCTGCTCCTGGTTAACGGGCGCCATATTGGTGCCGACGGCTGAAGTAGTACCGGCCATGGGAGAGAGAAGGTAGAGAAAAACCCTAGGCAGCTGATACCATATACAAAACAATGAATTTTGGGAAATAATGGCTTGCCCTATTGGGTGCCGTGACCATATATTTATAATAAACGGAATTAGGAAAATTACACACAAGTCCTGAGATAATACATTATTATTTGGATGGAATCGTTAAAATGGAAACACTACAAGTATCAGAGTTTTGACAACCCGTCAACTTATTCCGGTAGTCAAACCTGCTAACTGATTCAGTTATTGACAACTCGTTAACATAATCTGCTATTCGTTAAGCGCTAACAACTAAGCATCAAATACACCCAATATATAGGGATCAAAGAATTGGTTTTCTTTATTTTCGTTTTTTAAAATTATCCAGAACATTTATCTAAACGACATGAGTATTTTGCATGCCTACGTTTTTCCCTTGTATCTATGTGATGACCCTATGTGACTTGTATGGTGTACTTCGTGCTAAACAATTTTATTTAAATATGTTTTATTCCCTGCATATATAGTAATTATTGTTTGAAGTACAAGTCAATATGGTCATATGGAGTTTGATTAAAACGGGTCAAAAAACGACTCAAGGATGGTGTGCCTGGATCAACACCGTCTGAAATACTTATAGCCCTTGGGAGTAAAGCGTTTCCTTTGGAGGTAGCTGAACAAACATCTTCTCCCTTACCGGTGGCTGGTTAAATCAGAATGTCTTCATTGGAGGTGGCTGATAAAACTTCTTCTTCCTTTTCGGTGGCTGATAAAACTAGAATGACTTATTTGGAGGTGGCTAATAAAACCTCTTTTCCCTTTCTGGTGGCTGGTAAAACCAGAAGACTTGATTTAATTATATTGTTGCTTTTCTTTTAAAAATTCTTGTTTATGTTAGGTCCTCTAGATTTTGATGAGTAATATATTTAGTTTTGATGATTCCACCCCTTTTTAATATTCATGTATTAGACTAGATCATGTTTATGTTCTACTTACATTTATTATAATGTGCTACTCTTTTAGCAAAAAAGAAAGTACTCATAAAAAGCAAAAAGAGTATTAAAAAGAGAAGAAACGTATCAAAAGTAGATTGGGAAAAAAAAGCAAAACAAAAAGATACGAAAAGAATCAACTTAAACCCTTTACAGATTCGGCAGCCATCTGAAAAATAAGAATCAGTAGCCTACTGAAAACATACTTCAGCCAGCTCCCAATTTGGTTTTCCAGAAAAGGAAACCGAAATCTACTTTTCTTCTTTAAAACACAAAAACAATAAAATGTAAAGACACACTTGCAATCAAAATGACAAAAAGATAGAAAGTCATTTTATAAGAATTTTATACCACATTATGAAAATTTCTTATAAACTTATTTTTACTACAAGCAAGTAATTTTATTGTAAGGAAACATTGAACAAATACCCAGCTTATATACTCAACTCTTCGAAAAAAGATTAAAAAATATCCTATCTTTATCTTGTTCATTGAGAAAAAGAATAACAAGTTGAGTAAATAGCCGGTCTGTGTCACAAAAAGACAAAGACCAACCATGTTGCATTCAGTCAAGTAGAACAAAGCAAATGGATCAAAGCAACGGATTTAACTATTCAGCCAACGAATGTTGTTCAAATTCCTTGTGAAAAACCTCACAATCAATGTTTGGGCCAAGGATAGATTGAGCACTAAATGTAATGGGATATTCATTTAATTAAAATCTATCTGAAATAGGTTGAGACTGGATGTAGGAGAATTACAGCACCTCTGAATCAGGATATATCTTGTGTCACCTTTTATATTCAGCTTCCAATACACACGACAATTCTCACTCACCTTCACAATATTTCCAGATAAACAACTTGCTCATTACACTGTCCAGTTTACCGTGAATTAAACCCCTTGTTTTTGTTTATCAAAGTGATCTATTTTAATAGGTCTAACTTATTCATACTTATGTGTTTAGTCATACTTATGTGTTTAGTCTGCTCTAAAAGGTCAAAGATCATAGTTCCTTTCCGTGTCCCTAAGCCCAAGGGACACTAACGTTAGCTCAGAAGATCAACTGATTGATGCTTTATTAAATGATATCTCTATTAAATAAGGAAAAGTGTTCGGTGTACATACTTTGGTGTACATCTTCCGTACACTCGTCTGTCTCACACACAGAGTTGTCTGTCCACAGACAACTCTGTAACGAAAGGTGTACACCAAAATGTGTACACCTAGCACAACTCATTAAATAATGTTGTGTATGTACTACTTCCCGTCCCAAAATACTTTGTCATCTCATAAGGATTGAACCATGATTTTGATTAAATATAATATCATGAAAAATATTTTTTTTGTACTTTTATGAAAGTACTTCCTTTTCTTTTGTTTTTTTTTGTTTTTTTTACTCCGGGGGGGGGGGGGGGGGGGGGGGCTGGAGTAATCAGGACTGAAACTCACTCCATTGAGTTTCAAACCCTTATATGCCTAGCGGGTTTCGAACTTGAGATCACCTCCCACTAGGCACGATAACCCTCACAACCAGCTGGGCTGGAATACTTTTAACAAAGAACATTTACAATCATTTTTATATTATAAATAATTTTAATAATATCTAATTGGTTAAAGTTTTTAAGATGATAAAGTTTTGTGGGACAAAGTTAGTACTCTGTATTATTTTATTTACATTGTGTCTCATTCATTTTTATTTTCAATTGTAGGACTTTTTAGTTACTTATTACAAACTTGAATGATCTCTCTTTTTTATTATCAAAAACCTAAATTTTCGTTATATTATTGGAAGAATCCCTTAGTTGATTTTTATGGAGTGCATATTATTTTTGTTGGGTTAATAACCGAATAACGGATCGACCCTTTACCGGCCCTTTACCCCCGTCTAGGAAACCATCAAGGCCCAACTAGAGCACGGCCCAACAAGGAAAGCTAGGAGACGCTCGTCTCCTGCTAAAGACTAAAGACGCTCATCACCTCGCCCTTCATCAAATGGAACAAGCAATGATCCAGAACCCTTGGGGGGAGCAACCGGTGTAGGTCGAGCGGGCCTCCGCCCTTGTGCACACTTGGATCCAGAGCCCCAAGGTCAGGCGAACACTCGTCCGCACCTATTTGCGGGAAGCGCATTTAATGTAGTATATTTGGTGATTGAAAAGCTAGCCACTCACAGTCCTCCACATTATCAGTATTACCTACCTCTTGATAGTATAAATAGGATCATTTATTTCATTGTAAAAGGTTGACAACTTATACTTTCTAGCAATAACAATTATCCCCCCTCCTCTTAGG